CCTATGTTACAATAGTGCCCTTTTTGAGGTTACCAAAGTGCCCTAAAATGTTACAAAAGTGCCCTTGCGTTTAGCCCTCTCTCTCTCTCTCTCTCTCTCTCTCTCTCTCTCTCTAGATTCATCTGTCCGTATCTGCTACGTTTTCTCCTTTTGAAAAATTTAAAACGTTTTATACGTCAAACCTCACTTCTTTGGAGCAAGCCAATAAGCTAAGCTTTTACATACCCAAAATACGTTCTCCCTTTTCTAATTTATTTTACTTTTCCAGAATATTTTCTAGTTCAAACCAACTTAACGTAGCAAATACGCATTTCTTGGTACATCAACCAAAAATTTTGTAAAATTTGCCAAACAAAACGGATTTGTAAGGTCCTTAGGGTAATTAAAATTACTATTAAACCCCTCCGTGTTTGGAAATATTTTCAATTTTGCTTTAACTTAAATTAAGCACCAAACGTTGTTCTCAGGTACATGTTCGACACCAGTTTCAGACTCAAGATTTTTTTTTAGTCAACCCAAAACGTATTTGCTGTAAAAAATAATAACCCTTTGTGATACCTTCTCCAATTTTTATGTGGAAAGTAAGCGCTTCACAAAAGAAACTCTTCCGAAACAATTTTTGAGGGGTCAAAGCACTTTGAATGCATTTTTTATCCAAAAACCTATTCCGTAGCAAATACTCGTTTTTGCAGCAAATACGCACTTTGGTTTTCGCTCAGAAAAGAAACATGTAATTTATTTCGAAGTTAAGCCGTGATAAAAGAAGATCAACAATGCATAATGATGCCTACCAACCAGGGAACAGCCAGCCAAAGGTAGCCATTAATATTACCCGCTGTAGAAGCTTATTTTACACAAAACTGTGTAAAATGCGGATCATAAGGTAGCAAATACTCGTTTTTGCAGCAAATACGCACTTTGGTTTTCGCTCAGAAAAGAAACATGTAATTTATTTCGAAGTTAAGTCGTGATAAAAGAAGAGAAACAATGCATAATGATGCCTACCAACCAAGGCACAGCCAGCCAAAGGTAGCCATGAATATTAACCACTGTAGAAGCTTAATTTACACAAAAATGTGTAAAATGCGGATCATCAGGTAGCAAATACGCATTTGAGTTTTCGATATCTTATTTATTTAAAAGTTATGTCTTGGAGAAAGAAGAAAACCAATGAAAGATGATGTTCACTTTACAAATAACAACTATCCAAGGGAAGACATGGATATAACCTGGTATATATCCTTATTTATCACCAATTTGGAAATATCACGAGATGCAGTTTGCGGAAATTGCGCACTTTTGGCCGGCGTTATAAAACACCGGCTAAAAGGTTTGAAGATTGCATATTATAAAGGCTTATAAGTTTTCTGCCATGCAGATAGGAAATGACAATTTCGCTTTGAATGCCTTGATAAATCATGTATAATTTTGTCTATTAAATTCCTGCCTCGTTAGTACAGAGCAGTCTCGCGCGCGCTTACGTGCTTCACCCATACTTTAGCTAATGATGCCACACATGATGCTAATGAACCTTCCTTTCATAAATTCTTACGATTTTCGACTAAAGGACTTGTAAGGCTCAGTTCTGCCGAAATATTAGGCACACTGACAAAAATGATGCGCGCGTATCTTAAAAGTTTAGTGCATGAAAAAGGTGCACCTGCAAAACAGGTTGTAGCTGGGGACGCTTGTCAGAGGAAAAATGTTATAGCTTTTACGACAGACTGCAAGGATGATGTATTATCTTAAAGGAAACAGCCACATGTCGCAAGAAAGGCGATTAACTTTCGCAGGACGGCGCGCCGGCGCATATGTCAAAAAGCGGCTCAAACATGTTGCTAGGAGAATGTTCCAATACAGAGCTACGCAGGGCTATATAGGGCTCTGTAGAAATCTGTAGGGTATTATACGGCTATGTAAGACCTATGTAGGACTTGAAAAGCGCTGCATAGCCGTGCTTCGCCGTACATAGCCATGCATGGCCGTACATAGCCATACATAAACGAACATAGCCGTCCATAGCCCTACAGAGCCGTGCATAGCCATGTATAGTCGTACATAGCCCTACGTAGTCCTACATAACCCTACATAGCCCTACATAGCCGTGCATACCCATACATAGCCGTACGTAGCCTTCCATAACCTTACATAGCCCTACATAGCCGTACATTGCCATAAATAGCCGTACGTAACCCTACATAGCCATGCATTGCCGTAAATACCCGTGCATAGCCGTAAATGGCCCTATTTAGCCATGTATAGCCGTACATAGCAGTACATAGCCCTGCAATGCCGTGCATAGCCGTCCTTAGCGGCACGTAGCCGTGCATAGCCGTATATAGCCGTAAATAGCCGTTTATATGCACGGCTATGATGGGTTATGTACGGCTATGTAGAATTATGCACGGCCATGCACGGCTATGTACGGCCATGCACCGCTATGTAGGGCTATCCACATAGCCATGTACGGGTATGCAAGGCCATGCACGGCTATGTATAGCTATGTACGGCGATGAAGGGCTATGAACGGCTATGCACGTCTATGTCATGACGTCTATGTACGGTTATGCACGGCTATGTACGGCTACGCACGGCCATGCACGACTATGAAAGGCCCGTATGCAGAGCTATGCACGGCTATGTAGGGGTATGCACGGCTATGTAGGGTTATGTACGGCTATGTGCGGCTATGTAGGTTGCCCTTTTTCATTGCTACTTGCGCGTCCAATTCTTTGATCATCTCTCTACCGCGTTTTTTAAGTAATTATAGCGCGACCTGCTCGCCTCTCCTTTGCATTTCGTCTGCGCAGATGTCGATAAGCTGCACCTAAGTAGCAGGCCTCCTTCGGGTGTAGGTAAGCCGTTAAAAACTTCAAAAGGAGGGAAGAACCTGGTACTCATTCATAAAATCGAGGCGCATTCGCCCACTTTTCTCTTTTTCTTCTCAGTTATTTTCAGAGAAAACATGTTTAGTTTGGAGGCTATAACAATGAGTTCTTTTCGGGCAAGGCAAACCCCTGTATGGTGCCTTTGTAGCCTATGGCTGCGCGCTGAAATTTCACTACTTCATATAACAAATTTTATTATGAATAAACAGAAGTTCACTGGGCCATTGATTTGCATATAACATAATAGTAATAACTAACTCCTAGGTACTACCAATCTAAAATCTGAAGTAGTTTATAACATGTAGTCGTAATTTAAGTGTTTAACGTTTGAGACAAAAAAAAAAGGAACAACAGTGAAATAATAGCAAAACTTCGTATTTCTGATTGTCATAAGACATTATATTAGCTACTTAAAATTTCCTATTATTAGTCAAACTGAATCTATTTATTAAAATAATAGCTAAAAATGAGCGCAATAATTTTCAACAGTAAACTATACTATTAACGGCGGTATGTAAACACTGTTTTTTAAGTCTAACTTAACGATTGTTTTACTTGTCTTTTATCTTCATTGCTTTTCATCTTAAGCCTCGTTTTAAAAAGTGCAAAGAAAAACAGCACTCCCGAATAACTGTGAAAACCGAGCACTAAGCACAAATACAAGAACAGTTTTTATCTCCTTTTTGCCTCGTGCTTGCACTTGTTATTGTGTCGCAATTAACACGCATGCTTATAACGAATCCACAACCGCACAAAGATCCACAATGTGGCATCCTCGGTTGTGTGGGAATGTGTTCTTGCCACTTCATACGTTCATGCTTTTGTCTACTCTTGTTTTAAGACAAGACTCCACAGTTTGCGCCTACACTTTTGCCGGTGTCTCTAGTAAAAACCAGCCTTTACACTGTGTTTATCCTTGCATAGTAAACTCCAGTTGATTTAAATTATTTAACCTCATTAACTTGGACTAAAACTGGCACAAAATGCTCATCTTTACCTAGCGAATTGCAAGGGCTGGTAACAAAAACCTTTTAACAATCCAGAACTTTTTTAATAAGTCCAAACTTTCGACATTGGTTTTAGAGTTAGCATTTGCTGTCAGTGTGAACGCACCTCTAAATGTTACGGCATCATTTTAATCAAGGAAACATTGATGCCACATTTCTAACTCCCTTATTTGTGATTTCAGCGGAAATCAAAAGTCTTCTCCAAAACAACAACTCGATTCTACATAGCTTCTTAAAACAATCATGGTCAACATCAAGCCTGGTGGAGGAACTCCCTTCTAAAAGGGACGGGGATGCTCGTCGTCTTGCTTAGGGGTTTATATTGTCGTTGGGTTGTAAATTTAGGTCTCACTTAGGGTGTTTGGGACGGACTATATTTGCCCATACAGGTATCGATTAGGGCTGCGCGTAAAGAAATTTGCAACAAAAAAAAAATACCGTGACACTGACCACACAGAAATCTAACGTTTAAAAAAGAATATGAGGAAATTTCAGTAGAAAATTTTAAAATTTCATTAGCCACTTTTTGACATTCCAGTAAGCAACTTTCTAGCATTTCACTGGCACAATTGGGACAGGCCTAGGTACACCCTCATTGTTCTCCATTAGGCGTTTAATTTTAATTTCCCGACGAGAATCCCCTCACGTTTATATGTGAGTCCCCGGGACATCAAGACCATTAAGTGAAAAATAAGTAAAACTTAGTTAACAGCGGATTGTAAAATCCTATAGGAGAACATTTATTCTAGCTTGAACAGTTTATCGCACGGTTTCCTTTTTTTTTTCCAGCTTCCTTTTTGAATTCTTGTCTCACTTTGTCATTCAACCGCTGCTTAGCTTTGTGGATTTCCTCTTCGTTTTCTGTGCCGGTTATGAGGCCAATCTCCACCGACCTTGGATCACTCACCACCCTCTGCCATACGACCTCTCTTTTTATGTTGTTACACTTCAACATGTCATAGGTTAGGGAGATCAGATGCCCTGTTTGTTCATCGGTGAACTTCCTCCAAAAACGAGAATTCTCGGTTGAAGTTGACTCTGCTTGCGATGTCGAAGCAACTTCTGATTGGCATTTTGCCAGGTAATTCGTAATCTTGTCTTGAGTTGTTACTTCATGGCAGGGAGGTTCCACATTCTCCATGAACGCGTCTCTTAGGCGGCGAAGCTTCAGAATGACAGCCTTGAAAGAATGAGTTTGGAACAAGCTTGTTTCTTCCAGCTTTTTATTAATATTTTGCTCATCGATGAGCCCCGTTTCGATTTCTTCTTTACAAAGCTTTCTTAGCATCTCAGTCTCATCAGCTGTCCAAAGCGCGGGTGTTTTCATTTCGCCCTTCGTTTCAGGCTCAGATTTTTCTTTCTTTAGCGAAACGAGGTTTTTTACTGCTCGTCGTCCCAAGTCAGTTTCGTTTATTTTGTCGTGGATGCGATAGTAATTTGCCTGCGTTTGTACTTTGTGTTGGGCAAGGGCAGCTAGGTGTTCCTTCTGGTCAGGCAGGTGGACGTGCATCCCAGTGGCAAGGGACTTTCGAATTGTTGTCGCGCAGACCTTTCCCTTGACTTTAACACCTTCTCTTTCAAAGGTTCTCGCGATAGCTGTTGAAACCTGAGACGAAGTCAGGGCAATTCCATTGCTTGAAACAAATACGCACTCTACACTAGAATCTGATAGAACGAACTGACTCCTCACTGTTCTTATGTACATGTCTATGAGGTGATACAGGTCTTCATAAATCCAAACGACGGCCGGCCCATACACTTTAGCTGTCTTGTGATCTTTAACATGTACCCTGAACCGTGCCGGGTCCTCTTCTGTACCCTGGTAGTGAACAGCCTCATTAAATTCGGCAACAGTCATTTTGGCTGCCACCCCACTTCTGCCACTATTATCAATCAGCATTCGTGTCATTAACCAGTCCCTCACTTCACAGTGCGATTTGTCACTGATAGTCCTCATGATAATTTCACCACGATGTGTGTTTTCAGAGGTTGCCGCCAATTGCTTAACAGCGTTCACGCGCTGATTTCCATGGCAAATCTTGTCAAGGCTTTCACTTGAGAGAATTTTCCGATAATCCTCATCGTACTTCTCTAGTTTCCTCTTTAAGATGTTCTTTTTTTGCAGATGACCATGACGTCATGAGATCTGTGCGAGCGTTAAGCAAGTCCAGGGATACTTCCGGTATGGACTTTTCCTCTTGGATTAAGAATTTGTAAAACTGGCGCAGACTCATCAAGTAGGACCTAACAGTTCCTGGTCGGTACTTGTTGACCGCATAGGAAAGCCATGACTTCAAAATGTTTGCTCCAACTTTTCCAGGGGTCAAAAGCGAGTAAATCGCAGGGCCGGATTGTTTTTTTTGTTTATCGTCCTGTGTCGAATTCGCTGTGCAGGTGCGAATGACACTTTTCACTTGAGACTTGTATTGCTGTGCTATTTTAACATTACGATAACCTCCATCTACGTCAATCATGTAGTCGTAAAATTCAGTAATTAAGTTGTCAGTGATAGTGTCAAAGCAACCTTGCTGACTTTCGTTTCCCTTTTCAAGATCTGGTTCACCATCACTTGCTTCCCACTCTTCATCCAAGGCATCATCGTTGTCGCTTTCGTCACTCATTAATATGCTTTCGACTTCATCACCTTCGCTCTCTTCACAGTGCTGAATCCTTCGTCTCAAGTCTTCTGAAGAATCTTCTTCATTCTTAAAACGATAACCTTTAGTTTCTTGAGCAATTATAAACTCTTGAACTTTTTTCTTCCACCGTGGTGACTCAAGTTTATTATCTAGAAATGACTTTCCAGCTACAATTTCCTCCTTTCCGATAACCTCGACCATTTCACTCATCAAATTTTCATAATCAAGAGAATGAATAGAATCTTGAGATTGGTAAGATTCACTCGACTCAGAATCACTTCCCGGAATGTAGTCGCTACCAGATTCACTGTCTGATAAGATGACAATGTCGTTCCGTTGTTCACTTGCATTTTCCCACGCTCGACGTGCAAGATCGTCATATTCTTGATCACTGTCCTTACTAATTGTACCGGCACCTTTATCAACTCGTTCACTGGTCTCACCATCATTTTCGCTTTGACAATCCTCTAGGTAAACGTCATTGCAGTTATCCTCACTTGGCCCAGCAGTTACTTCTAATGGCTTTTGGCTCTCATCTTGTAGTTCTTTATCATCTTCGCTTCCATCATTATTTACTTTAGCTCTACTTGCTTTCACACGTTTTCGGCAATCCTCTTCACCCGATCTCCTATACTCTCCGCTGTCATAATTACTTTCATGCCTTTCATCGTCACTACTCCTCTCTGCTCTCCTCTTGCCCTTCCTCAACTTTCCTCCTTTTTTTTGCTTCTTTAAGTGATCGTCTATGAAGTCTAGAGAGACTCGTGGAGCTTCCTTCAAGGCTTCTCTGTAGCTGGGTGTATCAGGCTTAAGACCATGTAAAGGCGTTTGTAAATGTTTATTGAGCTGGAAAATGGGCGTTTTTTTGCCTTTGCACGGTGATAACGGGCAGAATTTTACCATCCCCTTGGGCTTCTTCTTCTCCCCTGATAAGTAGTCATGTAATTTGCGTTTAAGTTTCTTCATCCCATGGACGTCTTTTTTGATGTCTACTGAGATTAATTACACTCTTACCACATTTAGAACATTTTTTGGATTTCGTTTCTGTTTTTGGTCTTTACTCGTCTCCGGTAACGTGCTTCCACCGTCATCCAAGGCATTGCCGTCTTCCGCAACGTCAGTCATTCTTAAAATGAAAAATTACCATTACAGAAATTCACAACTGTAAATAAAGGAAATACCGAATACAGTTGTTATAAGGGTTTTGTTAAAATTGAACTAAGCTTTGGTACAAGCTATTGTTTGCTATTTGAAAATCGACCATGACAGGACGCACAGGTCGTCGACTGCTAGTACCGCAAGTAAGGATGAGGTCTGATACATTGAAAATATACCACAAAATGACGGTAGAAAAACAATAGCTTCAGGTGTCCTGAACGTGACATAATTTGTTTCCATTTTTTTTGTTTAAAAGAAGAGGCAATCAGGTAAATAGAAGAAAACGCAGACTGAATGTGATCCGCAAAAGTCAGTTGAATGTTCTTTGTGGTTATATGCCGGCAGCCAGGAAGAGTCTTAAAAAAGTAAACGTCCGGCAGTCAGAAAATTCAAATTTAATCGTTTGAAAATAATCTACCTTCAATTAGAATAACCAAGCGATCGGGAAACTAAACTGTCTTCAGCTGTCTCCGCATCTGAGCGGTTTTGGTTTCCTGGGCATAGAGTAGAGAGAGTAGCAGCGCGTTACTCTCAGGCACCGGCTAAGTACACGGCAATCTTCAAACGATTGGAAAAAATAATTTCGTAAACTTTCTGAATGCCGAGCACTCATTTATTTATTTATTTATTTATTTTTTTAACCCCCTTACCGACTGCCGGGCATACAGCTACAGCATTAAACGATTTCAAACGGGACTCTTCAGCAAAAGCCCCCGTGCTCCCGTGCAAAGACTCAGTTATTTGACTAGCCTACGTTGCAGCTGGCCCACGCACTTGTCTAAACCATTTGTATAGTCCGTCTGCGAATAAGTGTACAAAAAATTGTTCTAACATCCTGCAGAGTCGCAAGAACATATGTGAGCGTTTTTGATAGGCGGGCTTCTTACTGGTTTCTTATGCGCCTCACGATTGGCCTAATTCTTCAGTGTGTGTGACGGTTGAGCGCAGTGAAATGTCAAGATTCACAGAAGGGAGTTGGCTAGGATCGTTTACAGCAAACAATGAAAGAGCAATTGGAACTTTAAAGCCTTCTTCTGGACAAAAAAAAAATGCCTTGAGAGAATTCCTTCGAGGCCAGAATTTGCTTGTAAATTGCCCGGACTGGTTTTCCAGCTTCTTCCTTTTTCGTTATCAAATTCCTTGTATGAATTTGTTTTAGGCCATAGCATGAATATTTTTTAGGATTAATTGGCGTGCATGAATTTTTTTTCATTTAATTTTCCCTTGCGCAATTTTTCTTTTGTACTTCGCCTGCTCCCCCCCATAAGTTTTCTAATGGTCTGTCCCTTAGAGCGTCTGCGACGAAGGCAATTATTTGACCAAACATTCAAAGTATGTGTAATTAAATGGTGACAAGTGATACCGTAGAATTCCGATAATAACGGCCCCCGTTATTTTCGGATTTAGCAGGCCAAGGGGGCCGTTACTTTCTGGTAGCCGTTACTTTCGGATGGTTACAAAACATTTGTAATTCAGCAGGGGTTTTACACAAAGAGGACGCATAACAGACATAAAAAAAAAAGTAATTCAGGTTGCATGCTGGTTACGGTATTCATTATCCATGTAAACAAAATAATAAAACTGTAACAAAAAAAGGCCCCGAAATGTTCGTATACTATACGTCGAAAAAAAAATTGTTCGTATTATATGACAACTGTGATGACACATACTGCTTTTATCTGTTTTTACGCGTATTAGTTACTATGTTACCCGTATCCTATGTTTATGAAAATGCAGTACACCACTAAAATAGGAAAACATTGTGTGGCATTTGTTGTAAATTAAATAGGAAAATATGATTCAACCCACTACCTACTTGTATTTGTCACCACATACCGCACCTCTTGAAATGTTACATTAACGGTTCAAAAATTATATATATATTTTTTGAGAGGTCATTTTTTCAGCGGCTGCTATTATCAGGGAGGGGGGGACGTTACTCTCGGGGTTTCATAGCAAGGTAAAAAATTAACGTTACTTTCGGGTAGCCGTTATTTTCGGGGACCCGTTATTATCGGAATTCTACGGTATCAGGTGATAATTTAACGCGCTTTTATGTCCAAATCCTTATCAAGCCAAAATTAAGAAGTAATTCATCAGCTATACTGTGACATCGAGTAAATTCATGATGAAAAAATATATTTTTCATAGGTGAGATTGCCAGAGACGAGAAAATCGTCAGAATAGAAAAAAAAATTGGTAAGCTGTTTGAATAGGTGTAATGCGTATTTGGTTATTGCGAAAAAAGCAATCAGAATATATTTGATATAAAGGAGAAATACTTTATGCCGTACAAAATTCGAAAACAGAAATGTAGGCACCCTACATGACAGTAAATTGCAAAATTCCAGTTCGCAGTTTGTATACTGTTAACTCTTATAGACCCAATGAATCCGTGAACGTTTGCTAGGAACGGACGATTGATTTATTAACTAACAAAATGATTCAATTTTTCCGTTGAATGTTCCATTTGTAGCTGCTTTTCATGAGTTAAACAGACGCACATTCTATACAAATGGCTTTTAAGTGGTCATTTCAATTGAATCAAGTTGGCTGGCATCAAATATTTTTTGCTCGAACCTGTTGTAAAGCTTTAAAGCTTATATCTGAACATTGACAAGGTGAGTACCAATTAAAAAAAACAACAACAACAACATGCCGTATAACTGATTAAGCGTTCCATGGGAGGCCTACACCACAGTCTATATAACTAACTCAGACATTCAAAAATAAAATCATCGTCAGCCATGAAATCTTTTACGGAAACTTTAAAGAGACATCTTAGTTTGACTTGAAAATCAGTGTTTGTTTTGTTGAAAATCGTAGTTTATTTCCAGACATGTGAATTTGTTTTCGAAAACCGGAGTTTGTTTTTGTAAATTGGAGTTTGTTTTCAACAATCGGAGTTTGAAACTGATCGGAGTTTGTTTTCGAAAATCGGAGTTTTGTTTTGGAAAATCGGAGTATGAAAATCGGAATTTGTTTTCAAAAATCGGAGTTTGTTTTCACAAATCGGAGTTTGAAATTCGGATTCTGTTTTTGAAAATCGAAGTTTGCTTTCGAAAGCAAACTCCGATTTTTAAACTTCGATTATTGAAAACAAACTTCGATTTTCAAACCCGATTTTTGAAAACAAACCCGATTTTCAAACCCAGTGTTCGAAAACAAACTCCGATTTTCAAACTCCAGTGTTCGAAAACAAACTCAGATTTTCAAGTTCCGATTTTCGAAAACAAACTCCGATTTTCAAGAAAAAAAAAAACACCGATTTTCAAGTGAAACTCATGTGTGCCTTTAAAAGCTTCCGTAGAATAAAACAAGATGTAGTTTGAATTATCTACTCATTGATGAATTAAATCGGATTGTACGGTAAAATAAACATTTTTTTTATCCTCACCTGCTCAGTTCTCCAACTACTTTCGCATCACTGTAGTGCACAATCGTACACGTGGGGAGCCATACACAGGGCAGCCATGTTAAAGACTACTACGCATGGTTTTAAAGGAAAGATCGCTAGCCAAACAAATCGATGAAAGGTTTGGACTTTGGGGCTGGGTGGGGGGGTTCGTCTGACCAGGTGACTGGTTGTTTCTTATCAGACTCTAGCCAATATTTCAGAGAATGTAATGTAATATAATAAATTAGCAACTGAGTTTGCCATCTGTTGGCGTAGCTTTTTTAAAAGTTGATAGCTTCTAAAGAAGCCGTTATTTTTTCCCCTTTAAGAATCAACTTAGTTTCAGACAATTATTTATTCCTCGTTAAGTTCTGCTATAACTATATAATATTTTACACGGGTTGCATATTTAAAACAGCTCTCAAAACATGAAAATTTCATCAAGCGTTGTTTCCACACAAACCAAGAGAAATCTCTATGCTGAACCATGTTTTGTCCCTACGTAAGCCTCGAACTATCTACGTACTTTAAAATTATAGTTTGCAACGGTAGCTATTAATATGAAGTCGCATAGCAGTACTGAAGTACCTCTTATTTGCTGCAAAGTCCTTTGTTTTGAAGCTAAAACCAACCGTACGTATTTGCTACCGTAGCAAATACTCACTTATGTAGCAAATACCTACCAGTAAGTATTTGCTACCGTAGCAAATACCTACCCGGAGTAGCAAATACCCACCCTCCGTATTTGCTACGGTAGCAAATACTCACTAAGGTAGCAAATACCTACCAGTGAGTATTTGCTACCGTAGCAAATACCCATCCATCGTAGCAAATACCCACTTGAATCTGCCTCTCTCTCTCTCTCTCTCTCTCTCTCTCTCTCTCTCTCTCTCTCTCTCTCTCTCTCTCTCTCTCTCTCTTTAGATTCATCTGTCCGTATCTGCTACGTTTTCTCCTTTTGAAAATTTTAAAACGTTTTATATATCAAACCTCACTTCTTTTGGGCAAGCCAATAAGCTAAGCTTTTACATACCCAAAATACGTTCTCCCTTTTCTAATTTATTTTACTTTTCCAGAATATTTTCTCGTTCAAACCAACTTAACGTAGCAAATACGCATTTCTTGGTACATCAACCAAAAATTTTGTAAAATTTGCCAAACAAAACGGATTTGTAAGGTCCTTAGGGTAATAAAAATTACTATTAAACCCCTCCGTGTTTGGAAATATTTTCAATTTTGCTTTAACTTAAATTAAGGACTAAACGTTGTTCTCAGGTACATGTTCGGCACCAGTTTCAGACTCAAGATTTTTTTTAGACAACCCAAAACGTATTTGCTGTAAAAATAATAACCCTTTGTGATACCTTCTCCAATTTTTATGTGGAAAGTAAGCGCTTCACAAAAGAAACTC